ATATATACCTGATATATTTGTTCTTGCGAAAAACTTTTATTAAGTACTTTTCTAAGTATTTTAATATCTTTATGTATATTGAAACATAATTCGGGAAGAGTAAGCGATAATGTTGAAAATAATTCTAAATGTTCTGAATTTACACATGGCAATGTAGTAATTGCTGATTCATCAACCCATCGAGCTTGAATAATCATCTGAAGTATGTTCATTATCATAATTGTATTTGCTAACCATCCATGATCTGCAACTGCATCTATCATTGCCTAAAAATAAACATATTTTATGCATATAATAATATTGAAAATATTTTAATTATATATATATATATTATATATATATATACACAATATTTTTATACTATTAAAATTAATAATATTTTTAAAATAGTTATGGATATAATAAAAAATGCAGAAAATATACTATATCTTTTTTGTAATTTATATTTTCACATCTTATATAAAAAAGATATTAAGATTAACAAATAAAAAGATATTCATGTTTTAAATTACCGATGTTAGAATTAAAAATTATTTTAATTTTATATCTTTAATAATTTATGCATATTAATAAATATTAAATAATATAATCATTGTATACTAACATACAATAAATTTTTAAATAATCTATTAATAATCTTATATAAAATAGAATATTTTTTTTAATTATACATACTTGTATAATTCTAACTGCCTGATCAAGAACTGATTTTAAATCAGTAATATAATCTACACATGGTAAAGGAAGTCTTGAGAAATGTGCTTGAAGTAATAAAAATGCTTTGGTATGAGGAGAATTATATGAGTAATTATCTACTTGATAACGGCACATTTTACTTAATTCCCTGTTCAAACATTAAAATAAAAATCATCATTCATTAATATTAATTAGAATAAAATGAAATATATTTTTCTTTTTATTATTAGAAATAATACTTTACTCATTTAATAATTCTTCATTGTGTCTTACTGGTAATTCATTATATTCATAAGAATTACATAAAATATGTAAACATTGCTCCAATGTAAGAGATTCTTGTAATGATTGCACAAACATTAACATAGTATGATGTGATAAATAATAAAATGATGCTATTTTACCCATTGAAAGTGGATATAAAATTTGTTCTTCCTAAAATTAATAAATTATAAATTATTTTAACGTGAAATAAATTTATTAATTATAGAATAAAATATAGAAATAAAATTTTAATTGTATTTACCTCATCAAACGCCACACAATATGAATCTATTAATACTTTTAACGTATTATCTACCAAAGAAGATAAGTATTGATTAATAGCATAAGGTTCTAAAATACTTAAATTGTAATATCTAGGATTTTTCATTAATCTTCTAAAAAAATATGTCCATGTTAAATAATCTAATAATTCTTGTTTATTTTTAATTGTATTAGCTACAATTTCAGCATTTATATGATCTGGCAGAACAGCTAATAAACTTGATTCTACTGGGAATGGATGATGTAAAAATTTTTTGTAATAATTTTTTTTTAAATCATGTACTAAAACTACTGCTACTCCTGAATTATCAAACTGGGGTCTTCCCGCACGACCCATCATTTGTAGTACATCTGTGATTGGCATGTCTACATAACGGTGTTGTTTACCATCATAATATTCTGTTCCTTTTATTACAACTAAATGAGCAGGGAAATTAACTCCCCAAGCTAAAGTAGCTGTTGTAATCAATACCTAAACACATTTTTATAATTTTAGATAATTATTGTATTATAATCATGTATATCATTTGTATCATTTTTGTTCAAAATTTAAAAAAAGATAAAATTTTTATAAAAAAATTTCACTAATTTCATTATTTTTTACTTTATTATATTCAATATATTTATTTAATTTCATTATATTAGACAAAAATAAAATCAATATCCATTAAACTACATACCTGAATTTTATTATTAACAAATAATTCTTCGACAACTTTTCTATCTTTTTCTTGAAAACCTGCATGATGAAGTCCAATTCCAAAAGCAAGTGTGAGTTTCAAATTTGAATCTCGTATATGACTTAGAATGTTATTCAATTCTTCTTCTCTCATATGCAACCATTGCTTAGGATTATCTTCCCCTGCAAGATATGCAATCAAATCTAATGCAGTTAAACGTGTTTGTCTACGTGATGAAACAAATACTAAAGCTGGACTTGTCGGAGCATGTTGTTTAATTGCTTGAAAAGTTGGTCTATTCATTGTTGCCATTCGAGGACAATAATTTTTCCCTGGAAATCCAGTTATATGAATATCTAATGGTACAGGTCGTACAGATGGACGAAAATTATAAAGGCCCATCTCTTTAATACCAAGCCAATTAGCTAAATCTACTGCATTAGCTAATGCTGTAGAAAGTCCAATAATTCTTAATTTTTTTAAAGTATGACTAGAAATAAAATTAGTTCTTGAAATAATAACTTCTAATACTGGTCCACGATCTTCCCCTAATAAATGTATTTCATCTATAATAATAAGGGCAACATTTTTGACATAAAGTCTTGTTTGCCAACTTCTACTAATACCATCCCATTTTTCTGGTGTAGTTATAATAATACTTGCATTTGCTATAACTTTAATATCTGGTGATACATCTCCAGTTAATTCTATTACTTTTTTTCCTAATTGTTCTTCAAATCTAATTTTCCAATCCTTCATTCGTTCTCTTACTAAAGCTTTCAATGGTGCA